GGGCAATATGACATAATTTAATTACAGAGTTAACAGAAAAATTGTCAGTCAAATAAGTCACTGAGGTACGAACTACTACATGTCAACTTACAGCAAACTGCAACAACTTTTCAGATGATACGGCGCTTTTAAATTCGTCAATAGCCTCTTCCCATGTGCTGATCTTGAAGAATTTAACGATGGCCTCCTGGACAGGTCTTAGAGATTTTACTTCGGAGGCAGAAAAATTTCATCTCTTCCAGGCTTAACTCACAAGTTGCCACCTAAAAACGATGAATAAAAACAAGCGGAGATAATCAGCATTCACATGTTTACTATTTTTCTAAAAGTAAGAAACCTCTCTTCAACCACAGAGCTTAAAAGAGCAAAGAAAAATTCAGGGAGATACACTCTTGATGATGATCGTGATGATCATGATGATAAGAAAATTGAACAATTGAATTAATACATCATCTCATACAAATTTGAAGACATGATACACTTGATAATGATTTATGGGACAATGTCACACATATCTCACCTTTTTTAGGAGAAAAGTTTGTTCTTTTACAGGCAACTTGCAGAGGGGTTTTAACTGCCACTGCCTAAGCACAGGTTTCCCCTTCTTAACAATGTCCGAGGCTTTAGCTTCTGTCCCTTTAATTGGGCATTTTCATGCAAATCGTTTAAAGTTGTAACATAAAGTAATTATTTCAAGGTACAGTTGGAGTAACTGAGAGGTCCAACAATCAAAACTGCCTGTACAATGTGGTAATCTTGTGTGGCAAATATTCATATAAGTTATCTATCAATATAAATACGTTGCAACTAACACTTTGATGGAAAAATATCTGCATGAGGCAAGAGCATGGTTCAAAATTTAGTCTTTAGAAAGTATGAACTCTTCCACTTTAATTAACAGATTACCGGTAAATGTGACATTGACATGTTATAAATTTGGTGTAAATGTTTACTTTCAGAGGATATGCAAGATCTTAATTTATTTTACACTTCACTGTCACTTAGAATTACTAAAGGCACTGGAAACATGCATGAAGAATCCAACACCTAAGCCCCATATGCTCAAGATGGTTTATGACATAAAATCATGGATTAGTGATTATTGTGAGGAGTTACATGAACACACAGTTCCAAAGTGTTTCAAATTTACATCGAATGAGGACGGAAAAGCAGTTATGCACTACAGAAATTGGAGCCATGAGCCATGGAAAGAGCCCATTATAATGCTGAAGGTTAGCATATGAAATTCATAATCTGTGGTTCCTGAGTCATAGTTAACACAGTAACTTAAAAGCTTACCTGATGTTTTCTGAAGTAGCATTGGCACTGACAATTTATAGACCTGAAAAATAACATTAATGCTCCAAATAACTGAATGTTTGCTGACATTACATGTTAAGAATATGCTGGGTTTAAATTGATCCTCAACTTAAAATGTATCTCACTGCTTTTCCCTGTCTGGGAAAGGACCATAATGTGTACAAGTCAAAGAAGAATGAAATGGAAAGAGAAAACACTCATTAATGTCTGTCAAGGAAATTTGAGCCAACAAATATATTATTAGACATGGTTTGATGCTACTCTGGTTTAGAGATTAATTTTGTTGAATTTAACAGAGAAGTTACAGTTATTAAATATTTAAACCACAATAGTATCAAACCATGTTTGATTGTCCACCTGGCTGCCTTGTGAGCTTTCATATATCAAATTCATTGTTTGTCTTTTTTTGCCACACTAGAGTTTACCCTCAGGAAAGCCAAATCCTGTGACTCCTTCCCTAAATAAACTGGACATGGAGGGATTGAAGAGAGATATTCCCACCAAATATACCAAGAATACGCCCTTAAAAGCATCTGAAGAGTGGGAATCCTGGTTAGCAAAAACAGAGTTTAATCTATTATCAGTACCTGACAACTACACTTGGCCAGTGGATAAATTAAAGAATACTTCAAGGACTGTTTTAGCCTCAAATGTTGAACTCCCACATGAACTTTTAGAGCTCAGAGAGGAGGAGATCCAGCCTATCACAGAGGTGAATAATAATTAAAATGCAGAAATGGGCACTAAAAAGCCAAGCCTTCAAATGGTCCTACAGATATAAAAGAGAAATAATTA